CGCATTCCAGCCTAATTACAAAGCATCCTCCCTCAAAGAATCAGCGGGTTGACTCCGTAGGCATCAAATCTTCTGGACCTTAGTCTAGTCTGAACTGCTTAATAGCCCAGCCCACTCTCGGCCCACCAAGGATGATCGGGTCTGATGCCCACCTTAATTTCCACTCATAGTTCGTGTACGGCTGAAATTCAATACAGGAGTTTGTCTTCATAATTCATAGTGGGTCATACACCTCTTTGGCTTTTTGCACCCAATTAATTAGATAGATGATTCGAGAAGCCTCTCCATTCTCCGAGTCCCAAAAAACCCACCTTCCCAGTGCCGCATTGCCGATCGTCACCGGATAGCACACTAGACATGGTGCTGGAAATAGGGGAAGCCAGAGTATGGGGCGGCGCACAGATGATGCCGGATGGCAAGGGGCCGAACGGGAAGATGCCGAACGGGTGGTCCCTTTTTAATTTGCTCCGACCATCTAAGCACATCGCCCGCCGCCCAGAGGGGTCTTCAAGGCCCGAATTGAAGCGGAGGTCTTTTCCGGCAGTGAGTCCTTGGAATGAACTGGTGAACAGCAATCTTCCTAGCGTAGATCTGGCCGGACGGTTAAGCTCGGGAAACTCTGTTCTTCAGGCCGGACAGGGCCACGAGGCGCCGACGGTTTTCTAACCTGGTAGGAAGCATCCACCATGACACTTCTCCGAACGGCTATTCTTATTTCTTCGCCGGTGGTTGCTCGAACGGGTTTTGCTCGGTGCGCAGTTCCCGTTCAGGTATTGAAACCTATGAGGTATGTAGACCCCATCTTCCCGGACTGTCCTCGGTGCGCAATTCCCGTTCAGGATGAAAGTGTATTTGAATGCTTTGATACTCTACCAAAACCAAACTATGCCCCTAGAATCTTTTCAACTCTTGAAAAGCAATAGTGCGAGTGGCCTGGTGTAATCATGTTACCATCTCTGCCAGTGTTAGGTTGGGATAGCCTTCCAGTTGGATAGGTTTGGTCATTCTCGTTCGAGTTGTTCGTCTTTCAGGAAAAATGTGCCGAACGGGGGGTCACTGTCAGGGTAAGGAGCCGTGAGTGCCCAAGAAGTCCAGTGCCGAACGGGGGGTCCTCCGTCAAATCAGCAAAAAGTGTTGTCAGGATAAGGAAAGTGGTGGGCACGCGGGCCGCACTCATCATTTTTCTCCATTCTACTTGGACTCCTGTTTCGGCCCTAGCGTTTTGTTGGGTGTGGAGATTTGAGCTATGGCCAAGCTGCTGAAGTTTTTTTTTTCATCCTTGTTGACCAGTGAATTAGCTGGCCTGGAGCAGAACTGAAATTCCCATTCCACAACTAGATATCAGTTCATCTTTGATGTAAATTTTTTGTAGAACACGAACAAAAACCTTTTTTGCTTCTCTAAAAATCAGTCCATCTTGTATGAATTTCGGTAGAAATGCCAAGAACACATGTAGTTTTTCTTGAACGTTTTCCACAGACGGTGCCAATGTTGAGTTCTAGTCCCGTAGATCCGAAAGCCCAACATAACTTCGGATATTAGGGATCATGGATTCGGTATAAATCTGAATATTAATATAAAAGGTGTATGAACTAGTTATTTTTACGTGGAAACCCGGAAAGGGAGAAAACCACGGAACTTTTTAGGCTAACGTCCAAGCCCGCTCTTTCTCATTAATATGCTTTCCTCACCATTTTACATAGTACATCAGTAGAATCTCCCTCACTGGAGTTTGGTTGCTAGCTAAACTAGAATGATAAAGGAGAAGCAGTGAAGGGGGAAGGGATCGGAAGAAAGCTCCCCTGGGAGAGAAAAAGCAGACCCTTTACATGGGAAGCCTTGCTTCCTATTTATAGAAGGGGGTGGGCTTTTTCTATTCTAATGGGCCAATAGGCCTAATGGGCCTTAATGGGCCGAAAACATCCCAAGTAGACCGGGTGGGCCTAAATGGCCCTAAATGGGCCCGAGGGGCCTAAATGGACCTCGCCGATTGGGCTCCGTACCGGGGCGGTGTCTTGGGCCTCTGAGCAGTAGTAGGTCGGGATAATATTCCCCAACAGTCACATTTTAATTGTTGGTACATTTTATTTCATCGTAGTTGCAATTAAGTTATTTAAATATTTAACTAGTTCTTGAAATTTTATTTTTAATTAAATTGTAGTTAAATTTTAATAGTTCTACACTTTATTTGATTGTAGTTGCATTCAATTAGTTAGTCACATTTTTAATCTTCTAGACATTTTAATTTGTAATTTGTAATCTTAACATTAGAATTTGTAATTTTTGTAATATTTAAAGACAATGGGTCCCGGTAGGAGATCTGTTGATACAGGTTATCTCCAACGCAATCGATCAAAGGAGATTACGAGAGGTCATCCTTCGGGGTGGTCAGGGCGATCGAAAGGTAAACGTCAAGTAGGGGCAACATCTTTGTCCCAATCACGTGATGATTGGATGACCGATTTTGATCATATAGATGGGATGACCGATTAGCAACTTCAAGACCTCTTGAACCAAAATCAAGGCCAATTTTACCATCAACGAAACATCCTCACCATTGAAGAGGAGTTGGAGGACGATGATGCCGAGGAGGATGTTGGAGGAGGTGGCGGGAATGAGGAGGAGCATGGCAAGGACGAGCATGGTGAGGAGGAGTACGGAGGCGGCGCATGTGGATCCAAAGCGGTCAACAAACGTAAGTTTAAGTCTAAATCTCCTCTGTTTGCTGATGGTCATTTTGTGAAGGTCAAAAATCCGTTGGACGAGAAGTATTATGCACATTACCAACATTGCCCGCAAATATTGTGCATGGGTACTTCGGGGAGATACGGCACGGTGCGAAGGCACTTAAACTCGAGACACCCCACGGAGGCGGCCAAAATGAAGAGCAAGGGGACGCAAACACGAATATCGAGGTTTGTAAATGATCAACCCTTCAGTAATTTCTCTTACAATGATGAGGTACATTTAAAAGCTATGGCAGAGTTAATTATTGAATAAAATTTGCCTTTATTTTTTTTTAAAGTCTTGCTTTACGTGCTTATGCTCAAGATTTTTTAAATCACAATTTCGAAACTAAAGTCGCAAAACAATTAAAAAAACAAGTTATTAAACAATATCTTTTGGAAAAGGAAAAATGAATTCAATTTTTTGCAAACTTTAATGGGCGCGTGACTGTTTGTAGTGATATATGGAAAGATACGTATCATCACTTGTATTATTTGGGTGTTACTGCACATTGGATTGATGATGATTGGCAAATGCATAAACGTGTTATCACTTTTCAAGATTTTATTGAAAGACACACGGGTTATAATATCTATATTCTCATGGAACGTATTTTAGTTGAATATTCTTTGATTGATAAGGTGTTTGCTATTGGTTTTGATAATGCTACTAACAATAGTCTGTTATATCTAGATTGCGTGAATTATGTGGCCAGTCTACCTTGATGAGTAGATTTTTTCATCACTGTTGTGCATGTCATATTATTAATCTATGTGTGAAAAATGGCTTAACCGCATTAGGAAATGTGATGGAGAAGGTTAAGGATGCTATTAAAATGATTTCTGCTAGTAATCCACTTAAACAACAATGGCGTGCTAATTTGAAGTCGAAAGGTGTAAGGTATTGTGCTTTTCCTAAAGATCTTTCTATTTGTTGGAATAATACTTATAATTTAATTCTTGTGCTTCTTAGATATAAAGATTATTTTCCTACTTTCATGAAAGAAACTTGTAATTTTATTATAGAACCGGTTGAGATCGACACAATGCAAAAGATTTACGTTTTAGTTTATTTTAACAACGCTACTCAAACTTTTACTCATGTGTATAAACCAACTAGCAACCAAATTTTTATATAAGCTATTAATCTCGTCGGTGCTTTCCAAGAATTTTCTCAAGCTACTCATGTACATTATTTTTTTGATTTCATGAAAGAAAAGTTTTTAAAATATCATGCCTACAGCCCGCCTATTTATTCTATTGCTTTCTGTCTTGATCCTCGTTTCAAATTTTCGCATTATAAAACTTTTTAGAATACTATTATACTGCTTTCTACGGTCCATTGCCTATGTACAACGTGACGACACACCTATAGATCCTCAAGCCCAATTCAACTAGGTTAGTAATCTATTTCACACTTTATTTAATGAGTTTCACGCATAATATGGTAATGCACCCCTCCCCCAACACCGAGTGCTTCCTCATCTAAAGGAAAATGTTTTTTTAAATCAACAATTTCTACTCTTTTGAAAAAAAAGTAAATCAACTCCTCCTGTTGCACAAAGCTCGATTAATGAGCTCTCTTTATATCTAACGTTTATTGTTGAGTAAAATGAAGCGGAGGACTTTGATATTCTCCAATGGTGGAAGAAACACGAAGGGATGTTTCCGGTTTTATCAATAATGGCCAAACAAGTGTTGTCAATGCCGATTTCGATTGTTACCGTGGAACAAGAGTTTAGCAAAACCGGTAACGTTTTAACTGACTATAGAACGAGGTTAAGCGCTTCATCTCTCGAGAGTCGAGACACTCGTTTGCTTTCATGATTGGTTGAAGGCCCGTCGTAGAATACAAGAAGTCAACATAGCACCGGACCGTCATTCATGGAGGAAACGACAAATGACGCCAGGACCGGACCGACTCCATGCCTAATTCAATGCATTGTATGATTTGGATTTCCACCGGGATCTCTTGATACCCGTTTTGCACTACCTGACCCGCATTTTACCCAGACATTTGGGAAGGGAAATAAGCTGGAAATCCACTTGGTTTTATAGACTTGGATTATATTATGTTTTACGGACAAAATAATGTTTTTACGATTAAACATCTAATTATTTAAACTTAATGCATTTGTATGAGATTTTTGTGGGCAGTTTATTTTACATAGACCCGGCCACTCCCGGGACTATAATTTATGGACTGGCCCCTAGCTAGCGTGTTCTGATCTGGACATTGTTACCACACAAACCAAACTTTTTACTACAGTTCGAGTTGATTCGTTATTCCCACCCTACTATATTCCAAACTTCAATTCTCATTAGTTCTTTCCAAATCAAGGTCACAAATTTTCATTTATTTATTTCAAATCACAAGAAACATGTAAAGGAAATAAATCCCATTGGTTGGTGATATTGTAAATCAGTTGATATTTGCTTTCTTCATGCTCCAAGCATTCAAGCTAGAGATCGATATGTCCACAGTCCCATTGTTGAAGGCATATAGATGTGCCTCAGCATCAATTGCAGTGGAGGGATAAACCCTAGAAGTGATGCAAACTTTCCCTCCTCCACCAAAGCTCTCTACAATTGAATGATCAATCTGGAAAAAAAGTGCAAATACGAATTGTCAAAAATGTGTATATATCAATACACGTATCAGGCGAACGGAACAACTTCTTAACCATGAGACGCATCACAAAAACATCTTCAAGCTCGTCTCACATTTAATTGGTTATATTTAAATCCTAAAAAGGATTTTGAACATTGTTAAAAGTAATAGGGTTCAATTCAAGATGGGGCTTCTCTCTATTAGTTGTTACACTCGAGGGAAGAGGCATTGTGCCTTCTAAGATATTGTAATATATGTTCTATGTTAAAGAATCAACATCCTTGAAATGGGATGAAATTCGAACATGCGTCTTTCTCTTTGGGAGTGTCACAGAAATGCAACCGGACCACAAGAAACTTCTTCACATTCTAGTGTTGTTTAATAGACGAATAACTTTATTATCACTCATTATCGTAAATCATAGTTGACCATGTAAGTGAGATAGAGTCATAGAGAGAGTATATATTAACTATAATATGGTTAAAGAGTCATGTTGTCTTATCTGACTCAGGTTTCGATATTTAAGAATCAGAAATTACCCGAACAGATTGGGTGTAATTCGGGTAATTTACCCAGATCGAGAAATAAATTAAAAACAAAACCTGAACCAAGTTGGGTTGGTCTAGTAACCTAGTTTTCAGGTTTCGGGCTGGTTTATTATACCCCCTAATTTGAAGTACTATCAGCCTACATATAACCAATCGGGCCGATGGAAATGACATCAAAATAAATGTCATTGAGCTTACCAAACATCTGAGAGAGAGCTTCTCCACAAGAGGGTCGGCATCCAAAAAGGCTCCATATGTAGTTTTGTCATAATCCAGATTAGATGAAGACCTGTACATATAGTAGGTGTGCTTTTACTACGAATGCAGCCTAGCTGATGATGGACTAAAGAAATGGAACTGAAAATATGAACGATAAATTAAAGAAGAAATTCCTGAAATATGGGTAAAAATGTTTGAAATTTTCAAAATATGACTACTAAGTTTTTCTCTAAATAAAAGCACATTACTTTCATCTTCAAAACTTAATGACATGTTTTAGCATTACCGGACTTTAAACATTGCAACATACTATCAGAGAGTGACACAAGAAAAAAAAATAGCGACAGTATTTTCTAATCTTAATAGTAATTACTCATGTTTAGGGAATAAAAACATAGCATTCATATTCTAGAATTCTCAAACGTGTCTACTCCTGTTTTGGGCAAGCTCTTTATATTCAATCAAACCTGGTTTGGTCACTGCACATGAGAACTACATATTTATCTACTTTTTTGAAAATTCTGAAGAAAACTGCTGTGAATTCTTGAATGTCCTGTGACGCCAGGACTAGCAACCCGAAAGGACCAAGACTGTCCCTAACTGATGCACCCATTTGGCTGCACAGCTCTTGTGGATCGGTAGTCCATTCGGGTTTCAGCTCCTCTGCTTTCTCCAGCATGGGGTCACCAAATTCAAGTTCAACATCCGCCTGAAGAGTCGAGTGTTGGTTAAGATGGAAGTCAAATTCTGCATTAGAATGAAGTTGGTAGTTATTACCTGTGAGCCCATGACACCAGTAACTTCAACAACTGACCCTGCTTGTAGGACTGCACTCGGTACACTAACTTGGTTTTCTCTTAGCTGCTTTATTTCCTCTACTGGCAATTGCACCAATTGCTTCCCAGATGCACCAAGCCATACCTGCCTTGGAATTGCCTGAAGACATACAATGTATGAAGACATCTAATATAAGAATCAACTAAAATTTGCTCCAAATTGTTAAGCCCATCCCAAGCCGTTCGAATATTAAGATCCGAACTAAAATGAAAGTAACTCCAATCTTTGATTATTTCTCAGTTCGACGTGTGAAGTCAAAAACTACATGCTTGTACAAAAAAAACGACTCATAATGCTGACAAACTAAAAACAGGAATTAACAAATGTTAAGATCTAAGTTTCCATCCTAAAATGTTAACCTGATAGGAGGAGTTCATAATCTTAATATAACACTTTATTACTTCTTAATTTATCGGTGTGAGATTTCAACACCCGTCTTCACGACCAGACACTTCGTCGATATCGATTCGTCAATATCATTTTTTATAATTGTGGTATCATTTTTTCACAAGGGCTCACAAATGATGGATTGATTAAGCTCTGATACATGTTAAGATATAAGGTTTTATCTTATAAGGTTAACCTCATAAGACGAGTAGTTCATGATATTAATATAACATTTTATTATTTCTTAATTTACCTGATACTTCTTCATCAAAAGGCTGAGAATCCAAAATTTGTGCACGGGTTTTAGGGAAAAATTCAAGCTCTGAATTAGGATGCTTTTTCGAGTAGTACCTGGAGACCCGCCCATCCAGCCCCGGTATAAATGGACGCATCTGTTGATTCATTGACCCATCCGAACAAGATCCTCCTGCTTTCGGGCGTATAACCCGCTATAAGGAATGTCTTTGAAGCGTAATACTTCCCATAATCAAACATCAACAATCGAGAGGAACAAACACTGTTTTCATCTTCAAACCCGACAGACCCCTCATCTGGTATGAACACGTCATCTTCCGGGTACCCATACGAACCAATGGCGTAATAGTCCCGTTTACAGTCATCCAAACTGACCTTAAGGACGAACTTCGAGTCCTCGTATGGAAAATGCGTCGGGAAAAAGTCCGGGCACTCCCACATGCCCGTGTTCTCGGATGAAAAGAAGGGCTCCTCCGCTTTGACCCAATTAACAAAATCGGAGCTTTTGTACAAAAGAGCCATCCCGCGGCGGTCGGATTTGCTTCCGATGAGGATCCGCCATTGACCGTCCGGAGTCAACCATCCGCTGCTCGGGTCTCTGAATGCGCTGCCGTTGATGTTATCGGTGGTGGGTGAGATGACCGGGTTGTTTGGGTTCTTGTCCCACTCGATCAGGTACGGGTCGGTTAAGTTTGAGGGGGAGGCCAGATTCTGGACTTGGGTTTTCTGGGCGTCACAGCCCGTATAGAGAATCAGTGGATACCCGTATTCGGTAATGGTTGCGGAACCGGACCAGCAGCCGTTGATATCGGACGGCTCAGATGGAACCAGGGCCAGTGGTTGGTGGGACCAGTTGATAAGATCAGTTGAAGTTGCGTGGGCCCACGATATGTTTCCCCAGTCTGCACCGTCCGGATTGTACTGGTAAAATAAATGGTAAATTCCCATGTAAACCATTGGCCCTGCATCATATTTTCACTTAATTTAAGTTGATCTAACCTGCAATAGATACATTTTTATTCATAGGTTTCTTTTAGTGATATATCGGAAAATAATAAATATGTTGAAACATATGCTTTGGAGTTTGGATTAAATTCAAAAACATTATACAAAATAGATATTTATTTAAATATTAATAATAAAGTGCACTCAAGTGTTCAGGGCTTAGCAAGGATTGGAAAGTGGGAGGCTGAGATAAAGTACAAACAATAAAATGTTAATATCAAATTATATATTAATGTCCATTGATGTCCATGTCCATTCATACTTAGAACTTCAAAAAAACATTACTCCTTCCATTCCGAAAATTAACTTTCACTTGTTGGGATGTCCCAAAATTAACTTCTTGTTTTACTTTATATATACTCTCACTAAGTATTTTATTTTCAAAAGTACTTATTTATCCTTTACTTTTACTAGTCACTTACCTCCTTTAATTAATTTGGACCACTATCTTTAAGATACTCTTGGAAAGTCAACTTTTATTGTTTGCCTACCTAAAAACCCGTGAGGTCAAATTAGAATTTAATAGCATGTCATTTGATATTTAGAACTTTTCTCTTGCACGCCATTATATCAAGGAAATCATCGATATTTTAACATTACTTGACATTAATTAATATGATTGTATTAATGCCAAATGCCATCATTGATAGTATTTTCCAAAAATAATCATTAGTTTTGAACATTTTATATCTCTTAAGGCATTTTAAATTGTATTTCTAAACCGAGAATATGGTCATATTTTGGACTTGTCATTCTATATGGTAGTAGCTAGTTAGTGTATAATATCATAGGAATTGAACCGATCGAAGGAGATTGGATGAACTCACCATTAGGATCTGTAGAAATGCATTAGGCCATTGTCCAAGTCGACGTGCATGAAAAGAACAAAGCAAACCATTCATTAATTATACACCATACAGGTTATAATTCATACTACATCCGTCCCACTTTATGTGTATCACTTTGACCTTGACACGATTATTAATAAAGTGGTTGAAAAGGTAAAAGTTGTGGTTCAGATTTGAGTAAAATAAAACGAAATGGTGTAGCCCACATATTCCTTTCCTAAAAAGGAACGGAGACACTTATTTCGAGACAACCTAAAAAGGAAAGTAGAACAGGTAAAACGGGATGGACGGAGGTAAAATTTATACTAGTATATACCATTCATCCAATTCTTGGGAGGCTGGAAATGGAATGCAGTTCTGTAAGGCTGAAAATCTGCACAAGTGACAGACGGCAAGACATCTTTGTTTACGTGATGAGAAGCCATGAGTGGATGAAGGCCCGCATTTCCCAGAAATGCTAATATCAAACAAAGAAACCCAATGTATGTGAGGTTTGCCATATATATCTATGTTTGAAGCTAATTAATTAAGCACAGTCCACTGTGGAAGTTCTTCCTTAGCTTTCACTCACTACTTCCTGAAGACAGTGATGAAGAAGGGAGATGGTGGCTTTTAATTCCACTCCTCAGCCTTTGATTTATAAGCTAAGGCCTATTTGTGCATTCATTTGCGGATAGTACTATACAAACAAATTATGGGAATTTTCTCAAAACAGGAAACTAATGCTATTTTGAAATCATGTTGACATATTTTGGTATTAATTACTGCATTACTAATGTTATATTACATTCGTTCCAAATTGATTTGCAAAGTCAACATGTTTTTATCGATCCTATTGATATTAAATTTACTTATTTGAAAATTACAATAAAATACTTATAAAGTTGTGAAATCCAAATTAGAATATAATTAAAAATTGGTATTCTAATTAAATGAATAAAATAAATATGTTTGATCCGAAAAAGTTGACTTAGCATATCAATTTGGAAAGGAAAGGAACTTGATAATATTTTCCAAGTATGACCGTACTTAGTCTACTTTGAAAAAACAGTACTCTGTTTTGGAATTTCAATTGTTGTACATTTATTCAGGGTTTTTACTCCTATTTAAGGAATATATGACCGGTAACTTATACATACTCCGAGTAAGACAATTAGATTAGTAAGATATGTGAAGTAAACACACATGCTACTTAAAAAGCTTCTTACTAATCTAAACAGGTGCTTAAAGTATCGCTTACTAAGAGCATCTGTGATGCATCCTAGTCTAATCTAGGAAAAACACGCCACCTCAGCAAATTAGACATCTTATTTTTATTTCTTCCTCCGATGCATGTAGTCTTTAATCTGTTTTTGATGAGTTGGAAAATAACCGTATGCACAGTTACACAATGTGAGGGGCAACGTCTGGGTGTAGAAAGTGGTGGAAACTTGTAATTATGGTGAAAATCACAGATCCTCTTAAATGAGCATTAAATCAATTTTGATGAGCACCGAGTCTGTTCTTTTGAGTATTAGGATCCTAACGGTGAGCATTAGTGATATCTGATTCATTCCTCATATATCACATTTTGTTTATTATTTTTTCGTTTATTAAAAAGTTTTAGTCCAAAATGAGCATACATAACTTACAAATTAGTATCAAATAATTAAAAAGTTCATTTGTGTGTGCTCATTCATTTTGGGCGTTATACTCATTTGAGTTTAACATAAAACTCATTTCTAATGTGTTCAATATTCATTTGTATATGTTCATTTAAAATGAGTATTACACTAATATCAAATGAGTATACATAAATTACAAAATGAGCATTCATAAAACTCATTTGAAATGTCTACTATGCTCATAATTTCATTTATTATGCTCACATCTAAATAATTACGTATAACTTAGATTTCTCTAACCTGTGGCCAACAAGTGACCAAACTCACTCACCAAACTAAGTAAGAAAAAGAGAAAAAGGAAGAATCCAAAACAAGAAACAGGGAGAAGAAGCAACTAGGGCTATACACCAGGTGCTGCGCAGGAGCCGCCGCTGAAGTCGGAGTTTGAGGTGATGCGCTCGTGCTGGAGAGTTGCGGCTGTTGAGAATCGTTATCTATGTTGGCGGCGAGCGAAGGGCGAGCATCGAGAACGATCTGCGATGGAAGCCTGCGAACTGCGATGAAGACCTGCGACCTGCGATTTGAGAATTAAAAGTCCGGTTGTATCGTGCGCACAGTACGATGGAATTTACCAAAGTGGTGCAAACTTGCTGACTGGATTAAATAATACGAGTACGTAGTAATAAAAAACAGTTTTACGGAAGTACGGAGTAGTTTTTATGCCTTTGCCGTCTCTTTCACCAAAGCACAAGAAGAAGAACACGCCGGTCTTCTACATAACCTTATATACTCGGGATGAGAATTCTGAAAGTCGTGGCTTTTTGTTCAGATTTACTTTTACCGGAAAGGGGATGAGAATTCAGGCATGGTAGAGCAAAAGCTTTTTAAAAGAAAGATAATACTACCTCAATAGTACTCCTTCCGTCCCTAAAAATACTTCCAACTTTCTTTTTTGGGCGTCACAAAAAACTTTCACTTTCCTTTTTTGTAATAATTTGTGGTTCACAACAATTCTTACACATTTCTCTCTCATCTGCACAACTCTCCATCATACAATTTCCACTTTCTTAATCTGTGTGTCATTTGTACCACAGAAGAACATTTAGGGATGGATGGAGTATATATAATTTACTCTTATTGTAATAAAAACATAAATTGACATCCGTACTTAACATGGGCCGTAACACTTTTGCATTGGAGGCTTCTTTGACAGTTCAATATCCGGCCATCCCACTGATGGGGTTACAGGCTTAGGCCGAGAGCCTAATCGGCCCAAGCCCCGAACTTGGACCAGCAGGCCTAGCGACCCAGAGCTCGAGCCGGCCCAACTGATCAAGCCCATCAAGGAGTGGAAGCCCAAGATAGCCTGCCTTCCAGCCCGGCCAGCAACCTGCCTCCAGCCCAGCCAGCAACCTGCCTCCAGCCCGGCGAGCAGCCTGCCTCCAGCCCGGCCCGCAACCTGCCTCCAGTCTAGCAAGGAGCCTGTCGTCCAGCCCAGCCAGGAGCCTGCCATCCAGCCCGGCGGGGAGCCTGCCTCCCATCCCGACCAGTGGCCTGCCTCCAATCCAGCAGGAGGGAGCTCAAGCGTCCGACCTGGCAGCCAAGAATAGTAACAGCCAGAGCAATTAATGCACGATTTATTTATGTATTTAATTCTGTATTAATATTGTAATTAATTAGTCATTAGTATATTTGGCAGTTATCATTTGTAATCGCCTATAAAAGGCAAGTCCGATTCAAATAATAGATAAGTTATTCTTCGCAACTAAACTTCTTTAGCAACTTTCCATTTTCATATTGCTTTCTTGATTTCCTGCTTGAGTGTCGTACGTAGCTTTTCTAAAAGCCTACGAGCGTCCTATTTTGGACCAACATTGGTGCTTTCATTGAGAACCTCTATTGTCTCTCACATCGCTCGAGTAGGAAACACGAAGGAAGATGGCCGGAATCTCATCCCGATGTGACCATGTCTCAGTCCACACCGAGGAATCCACCTGGTCTGGCCGCCAGCGTGCCCCCGACAACCATGGACAAAGTAGGGGGCGGCGCGCCAGACGACCTGAGGGTGACGCTCAACCACACCCAGGGTGAGCGTTCGGTCCGCAACCGGCGGGGGGGGGGGGGGGGGGGGGGGCGACATCATGCTCCGCGCATGGATCTGGTTTGACTCAATGCCGGGGTGGAAGTCGTACAAGAGGCGACTCGAGTTCTGAGGGTCTTGGCTCTAGGTTTCCAGCAGATGGTATCTGGCGGTAATGTGGATGAGCATGCCCGTTAATAGACACTGGCAGATGT